TTCAATTAATTATAGGGACAAAACCCAAACAAGGGGAAATCATGGAATACCAGACACTCTTATTTAAGTCTTTTGAAACCAGACTTATCAAAAGTCCTAGGAAATACACTGGAGAAAACAATCTTAAACATATAAATAAGGTGGAACACAGAGAAGGAAAGAGAGTGGAAGGCAAGGCAGAGCTGTGCTCAGACTGCTGCTGAGATACGCAATGGCTTGTGCAACTCACTTGTCTTCTCAGAGCCTATATCTTCACTGGTACAATACTGGACACTACTACATTTATATAAGAAAATTATATGCTGGTCCCCTTGAAGAAAAGAGACTACAAAAGGCACAGCCCCAATGAGTCAAGGTTTGGACAGCAGACCAGCCTCTTTATGTAATTAAAATGGTTCTGCTGTCTCCAGCTGGATCCAGCGTGGAGTGGTGGCTCCCACTCACCTCTTCCTCAGAACAGTGCCTGAGTGTAGAGCACACCTGAAGGATAAGGCACATGGGTTCACAGAGTGCCCTAATTAAAGAATGGTGGAGCCAATCGTAGTGAAAAAAAGGAGTAATTGGTTGGAAAAGGAATATAATAACCCCTGGGGTCTCAGAGTTAGTAGATGGTCTATAAAAAGTAGTCTTTATCATCAGAAAATTTCCTTACATAGTTTTTGAAGCCAAAAATTTCTTTCAATCACTAGCATGCTTTAACACAGCCTGAAAATCCAGACTGGCTTGAAATTTAACTTACATTGCCACACATCTAACACACAGTCAAACAAACTACTCCTATGTAATCTGTACTGACATAATTGAAAGTGGTTTTCATTTATTTAAGTAGCACAGTTTTGACGTAATGAAAACATTTTCATAAGTGGCATAACACACGTTCAATCAAAATTTACAGAGGTCTCCCCTGCCTCGTGGACTCTTCTGCTACCTACTCTTCCCTTCCCTACTTTTCCAGAACACCATTTTGGAAATGAAGGAAAAAACAGGAGAAGGAGGCGGTATTAAGTTTCGGTTCTGTACAATGGCACCTTTAACAAACCTGCCAACTAGTGAAAAACTAAATAGAGTGGTCTGAAAAAAGTCTTTATTACTGCCAGTTAATGTTCATAGGACTCTGGGGTAACAAGAACTTTCAATGACTCAATATTTATAAATGCTACTGTTGTCTTGCAAAACATATGTCTTAGACTCCTAAGAGATGTGAGTATCTTTTGCTATAAAGGAGAAGGTATAAATTTTAAATGGAGGAAAGAAATAGTTAAGAAAACAAAATTAAATAGATATAAATGAACATTTGGTGGTCTTAAATTTGAACATCACTTGGATATGACTGAGTAACTTGTCCAGGTTTTCATTTTAACTTACCAATGCCTTAAACACAGAGAAAACATTCAAATGTACAACACAATTTTTATCTTTCTACTTGAAAGTTTTCCATTTTCTAGATGCAGGTACCAAAAAAGGGCTAAATTTAAAATTTGAGATGTCAAAATAACTGAGTTTGTGTTCACAATTATGATATTATAATCATAACTCCAAATGACTGAGAAACAATAACATTACTGAAGTGACGTCAAGTTGCAATTAAAAGTCAGTGTTTCCATTACCCACCCGCAGTATTTTCAGGAGTTTATATATAACTTGATCATTAAAACACGTTCTAGGCTGAAAACCTGGTCTGTGTCAGTCTTGGACTAAACCAGTTTGCAAAGCTCTGAAGATTGTTTGTTCTCTTTTATCCTTTTTCAAGAATGTACTAATTTTAAATGCTTCACATAAAACAGAACCAAAATAATTTTAAACACCTGATTAGCCAATGCTATTACATGCATCACTAGTTTTTCAGGAGAAATTTATGATTTCTATAAACTCACTTTTTTAAGGTGCCTGTGGTGAGAAGTAAAAACTCAAATTTATTTTTTAACTCAATCTTTAACATATCCTTCTCTAGTGGTTCAAACATATCCCTTCTCTTGTATCTTTAACATATCCCTTCTCTAGTTCAAAAACATAGGTACTTCAACTTTTTTGTAGAAATAAATCTCAAGTTGGAATTTAACTTTGTAGAAATAAAGTTTACTATTATGCCTTCCATTAAATTGTTTCTTTGTAGAATAGTGCTTTCATATGGGGACATGCAAAAAAAGGACAAGGAAGACATTATATTGGACTCTGACATGTTAAAGTTATATTGCAGTGAAGAATAACAGTAGAAGAAATTTGGGCACAAATGAAAATATCTTTTTTTTTTTTTTTTTGAGACTCACTCTGTCACCCAGACAGAATACAGCGGCAACTCTATACTCACTGCAACTTCCAACTCCTGGCATCAACTGATCCGCGTCCTTAGCCCCACTAGTAGCTGGGACTATAGCAACACATCACCATACCTGGCTAGTCTTCCTTATTTTTTATTTTTATTTTTTTGTAGAGAGACATGAACTTGCTATGTCAATCAGGTGAATGAATATTTGCAGAACTGAGTAACATGTACATTTATAAACTCAAGTATTAACAAGCTGTGGTATATGTATTCAGCCATTAAAAAAGATAGGAGTCTTTACATTCTTTGCATTAACTTGGATGGAAATGAAGCACATTATTCTTAGTAAAGCATCACAAGAATGGAGAAGCAAGAGTCCTCTGTACTCAATTCTGACATGAGGAAAATTAATGACCTAGTAAACAGTGGGGGATGGGGGAAGGGGAAAGCAAAAAGAGGGAAGGAGGGAGGGGAGTGGGGGTTTATGGTTTGTGACACACCTTTTGGGAGTGGGACACAATCATAAGAGGTACTTTCCCTAACAAATGCAATCACTGTAACTTGGTTCTTTATACTCTCAATGAATCCTCAACAATAAAAAAAAGAAATACTAACAATCTGGAAAGTTATAATGTATCCTACAATGAAATAATTCTAATTATGAATAACTCATTTTAAAAAATATTTTTTTTATTTGGACAACACCTATAGTTATAAAATTCTTCCTTATAGTCCTAGAACAGCTTCATTAAGAGTTATCCAGGCTCGGCGCCTATAGCTCAACCGGCTAAGGCGCCAGCCACGTACACCTAAGGTGGCGGGTTCGAATTTCCAGCCCGGACCTGCCAAACAACAATGACGGCTACAACCAAAAAATAGCCGGGCGTTGTGGTGGGTGCCTGTAGTCCCAGCTACTTGGGAGGCGGAGGCAGGAGACTCGCTTGAGCCCAGGAGTTGGAGGTTGCTGTGAGCTGTAATGCCACGGCACTCTGCCCAGGGGGACAGCTTGAGGCTCTATCTCCAAAAAAAAAAAAAAAAAAAAAGAGTTATCCAAAGGGTTTTAGATTAAGAAACACTATAAAATATTGCTAACTTTTCTACTAAGTCCAAAAAGGTTTGACCCCATGAAATATAATAAATGTTCTTTATTAATATAATATAATCAAAATATCTTTATTTAAACATTATGTTTTATTAGCATTTTAATAATGTTATAAGGTTGGTTTTTATTAAACATTAAAACTACATCTTAACAATGAATATTATTTAGGCATGAAAATGAATAAAATATTGATACATGCTATAATATGAAGGAACCTTGAAACTATGCTAAAAAAAGCAGTCACGAAGGCCAGTAATTGTATAATTTTATTTAAAGTGTCCAGAATAGTTAAATCTAATAAAGTAGATTAGTGGTTGCCTAGGGTTGGTTGGGAAGAGAATGAGAAATAACTATTCATAGATACAAGCTTCTTTTGCAGGTGATGACTGTTATGGCATTAGACAGTGGTGATGGTCACAAAACCTTTCAAATACACTAAAAAACATGGAACTGTATACTTTAAAATGGGTGAATTTTATGGCTACAACCATACCTTAAATAATAGCTCTTGAATAAAAAAAGTCCTATCTTTTGATAGGCATTATTTTAAAAGAACCTCTGAATTCAATGAAGTGGCCAAAATAAACACTAACTTTAGCTCATCTAAATACATTTTAGATACATCTAACTATATCTAAAAATTATGCAGTGAGGGATAACGGATAATTTACAAATGTAAATTTTACTAAAAAACCCCTCACTATATTTAAGTTGATACTTTTGATCTATGAAGAATTTTGATTTCTTTGTTATTTTACAGGAAAGGGAAGGTTTACTTCATGTTATATGTGCTTGCACTTAGGAAAGTTCAGGAAATTTCAAACCCAGAAAATGGGTTCTTCAAAGAAAAACTGACAAGTTAAAGCTGTTATTATAGTCTATTTCAAATATCCCAGGGTTTCTAAAGAAACCTTAACTTAAAACGTATGGATTCCATTCCATCTATTTGAAATGCTTTTTTTTTTTTCAAGTAACAATCACACACCCTAACTGGATGTTTCAGATAATAACTTCAAAATACAATAGACATAAGACATTATTTCCCTATGAATACCAATAAAAAACTACTCATTTAGAAAAAGAAACTGTATGTATCATTATATTTTATCCATAAAAGCATCAGAGGGGTGGCGTCTGTGGCTCAAAGGAGTAGAGCACCGGCCCCATATACTGGAGGTCGTGGGTTCAAACCCAGCCCTGGTCAAAAACTGCAAAAAAAAAACTATAAAAGCATCAGAAATTTTACATTGAGCTTTACAATAGGACTGATGTCACTCTCATGTAATAATATAAATTTATGCAATTTTTGCACTCATTTGTCATGTCAGGAATTATACATGTCTTTTTTTCTAGCTATACTGTAAGCTGTAAAAACTATGTGTAAATTTTGATTTTTAGGATAAGCCCAATGATGTCTTACAAGACATATAGAAACCTGATATCTAATACATGTTGAAGATTCATTAAAAAAACTTAATCTCATGACCCAATTTTCCACGACAAGGCTTTTCCATATATACTTATACTATATCAGATTTCCAAATGACCAAAATATTTCATGGGTGTTTTGATATATAGCTTTATTATGCACATATTATGCACATAATATGAAAAAGAAAACACCATAATACTCACAGTTGTAACCAGGTGTAATACGGTGTTGAGCTTCAAGGCTGGCCAACGTGATGTGAAAAATGATGTGCAGCAACAGGAAGGAAAGACTGGTGAAGCACAGAGACTTCAGTAACCGTCCCGTATGTCCTAGGGGGTGAAAAGCATAGAGATTTTATAAGACAACTTAAAATTTATTACTATTATCATTATTATTATTATTATTATTAGAGACAAAGTCTCACTCTGTAGCCCCAGGCTAGAGTGTCGGTATCACAGCTCACAACCTTAAATCCCTGGGCTCAAGTGATTCTCTTGTCTCAGCCTCCCAAGTAGTTGGGACAATAGGCACCCACCACAGTGCCCAGTTAATTTTTTTATTTTTAGTACAGACAGGGTCTCTCTTGCTCAGGCTCTTGAGCTCCAGTGATCTACCCATCACAGCATCCTTTACAGTGCTAGGATTATAGGTGTAAGCCACAACGCCTAGCCTAAAATAAGTACTTAAGATCAAACACATTCAATCTCTTGTAAAGTTCATCATAGAACATGCTTGCATATAACCTATCATGTAGACTGATTCAGAAGTACATGCAGTATAATAATTATTATTTTAATTATTATTGTATAATTAATTAAAATAATTAAAAGCTACCTTATTCCCTTTGTAACACTATATAATTAGCTTTACATTTATTAAAAATTCTCTGTAAAAGAAATATGCTTTCCTATTTGTACATGACATGTTGCTGTGGAACAACAAAAAAAGCCCCTGCCCAGAAAATTTTATAAGGAAATGATGACAGCTTTGAAGAAACAGATAACCCTTATCTGATAAAAATAGCTTTGAAAGTAGAAAAGAAGGAGATCTGCCTAAAGCATTTTATGAATTTTGAGTAACTTTAATTTCAAAATCAAATCAGCCTGGAAAAAAATTAGAAGCCCATTTGACTTGTGGACATAGCACAAATTTAAGAAAAGGAGAAACAACTGAAATAGCATAGTAAAAATATAATGCATCATAAAATATCAGCTAGGGCTTGTTGTAGAAAAACAAATGTGGTTAACATTAACAAATCGATAAGTGTAATTTATACATTAGTGGGCTGATATCCTGATCTTCTCAACACATACATAAAGGTCAAAACCTATTTATAATTTCTAAAACACTAATAATACTATAAATAGAAGCAAACATTCTTAAAGAATTTATAACATCACTAAAACAAACATCCTGCTCATGTTGAACTTTTAGACATAGCCCTTCCACTGTCAGAGAATAATCTAAGACATATCACCTTAACATATCACTATGTGTACAGGCCAATTCCATGAGATAAGAAAAAGAATAAAAACTCTTAATAACTAGAATTTTTTGCAGGTAATATGATCAAAAGGAATTATTTTCAGATGATATCATCATCAATACTGAATGCCAAACTGAACTATAGACCAACTCTTAGAAAAAATATAAGAATTTAGGAAATGATTCAGAAACATCAATTTATCTACTCTACAGCAGCAATAATTAAATAAGAAATAAGAGACAATTTTATTATCAATCAAAACTAAATTGTAATGGTGTTGTCAATGTGTCAGTATCTTACAGGATAGGAGATAAGCCTCAGTTGTTGAATCAACACTAATGTGGGTGTTGCTCTGAGTTTACAGATGTTATTAAAGTCCATAATTAACTGACATTAATGAAGGGAGACTATCCTCCATAATCTAGGAAGGCCTGATTCAATCAGTTACAAGGCCTGAAAACCAGGTTGAGGGGCTGGGTGTGTGTGTGTGTGTATAACAGAAAAGAAACTCTATTACCTGTGGAAAATTTTAGCCTGTGCCATTGTGCCATGAATTTTGGTTGCCCATAATCTTCGCTTCCTGTGAAATTTCTTAGTCAGCTCACACAATTAATTGTGTAAGTAAATAATTCTTTGAAATAAATCATATACAGAAAAACATATATATCCCATGGGTATTGGTATTGCAGTTGAAACTCAACTGATAAGAGTATGTAAGAATTAACCTATAAAAAAGTGTATAAGACTTTTATGGACAAAATTATAAAAAAACAAAAAAGCAAATAGATATAAATAAACAAAAGATATATCTATTACATTCTATATGAAATGACTTTATATGATAAAAATGTCAATTTCCCTCAAATTTATTAAAAATTCAATACAATTTCAAATAAAATGCCAATAAAAACTTTTACACCTTCAACAAACATATTTCAAAATATATAAAATTCCAGCTGTGGTGGTTCACACCTTATAATCCTATAAGCACTTAGGGAGGTTGAGGTGAGAGATTCACTTGAGGCCAGCACTTTGAGACCAGCCTGAGCAACATATAGAGTCCCTGTCTCTACAAAAAGCAAAAAAAAATTGCTGAGCATGGCAGCTCATGCTTGTAGTCCCATCTACTCAGGAGAGTGATATAGAAGGATCACTTGAGCCCAGGAATTTGAGGTTGCAGTGAGCTATGATAATGCCGCTGTAGCAGGTAAAAGAATGAGATCCTTACCCCTATATATATGTGCATATACACATATACACACAACTATGTACATATATAAAAGAATGCTTTGGAGAGTTCAACAAACTTACTTTAAAATGTTATTTAATGTAATTCAAAGTATAAAACTCAATGAATTTCCATGTTAATTTTGAGAATTGGTTAGATTCCGATATTTTTAGAAATAAGGTCAAAAATAGGTGAAGTTGCCCTGTCCTACTAGACATTAAGTTATGCTATAAACCCATAAGTTAAAACAAAAACTTAAGATTCCTATGGAAAGAAAAAAAGTCAAATGGAATACCATATATTGCTCAGAAAAATACCAATTTATTTATAATAATTTGATAAAAGTCAAAGTCAACTCTACAAATTAAGAGAAAAAGAGTGACATCAGCAAGGTAGAATAGGAGGTTCCAGCTCTCATTTCTCCACAGAAACATCAATGTGGAAGCCCCAGAGGCTGTTCAAGCTTCCAACTCCACCATGGAACAAAGAAAATACAAAAGTGAACATATTGAAGAGGGTGAGAAAAAAAATTCACTTTATCCATGTCACCCTTCTCCCAAGGTGGCATAGCTTGGTGCCAAGAGAAGCCTAGTTGACCTTCAATTTCTCCCACTAGGGAAAGCAAGAGTAATGTGAGTGCCCAGGTCTTGCAGGATATACAAAGAACCAAGAAAATCTGACCAGTTCTCAAAAGAAATGATAATCAACTGATGCCAACATTGAAACTGTGGAGATACTGGAGTTATTAGAAAATTATAAGAAAATTATTTTAAAGCATCCATTATAATCATGGTCTATAATATAAAAGTAAGTAATGTTGAAATAAATGGAAAGATCGAAGTTGTGAGCAGACACATAGAAACTATAAAACAATAAAAATTTTATAACGGAAAAAATACAATATTATATCTGAAATTAAACACCTTCTGATCTGCTCAAAAGCAGAGTGGAGATGGCAAAGAAATGACTCAGTAACCATGAACAGATTAACTGAAATTATCCAAACTAAAAAATACAGAGAAAAAGATTGAAAAAAAAATTTCAGAAATTTGATGAAGAATTCATGTATTTGATAATCTCAGCAAACTATAAATAGGATGTACACAAAGAAATATCCTCAGATATTTAATAACTAACCTCTTAAAAACTGACAATAAAGAGTCAGTACTCTCTAATATCTTTAAAGTTATGAAAGAAAAGAATTAGGAGCCCTAAATTCTGTATCCTGTAAAAATTTCCTTCAGGAATGAAGGCAAAAAAGAAGATATTCTCCAAGGAAAGAAAACTATCACCTGCTCACAAAGAAATGCTAAAAAGTTCTTTTCCTGAAAGGAAATGATACCAAAAGAAAACTTGGAACTTCAGAAATGAAGCAGAGCAACAGAAATAGATAAAAAGATGTTTCTTTACATACACACATGCACACATCCACACCCCACCCCTAATTACAGCCTTGCTCCAATTAATTCATAGCATTTCTAGAAACGAACTTTTTCTGGTTTGATAATATTTTACATGTACTCAAATAATTGAGGATATCATGTTGCCCATGTATTACAAAGGCACTCTTATTTATATAAGAAATATGAATATATTTAAAATCTAAATTTTCCAAAGAAATGCAACCTAATAAATACTCATATAACTAAATAGGGTACATATTGAAAAGGATACAAATGTACTGATAACTTCAAGATAATTTCCAAAAGTAACCCAAGGTAGCAGATTTGCAAAATAAGCAATCTGTGGCTGAAATGACACAGCACCAAACTGTACATTTGCATACTATTTTCCCTCTATTATTAAAAATGCCAAAGCAAAAGAAATTCAGTATTAACTTAAAGAACAGATAACAAAGAGAGGAACAGAGGTTTTCCATACATTTTACCTTGTGTTTTATTCATGCATTTTGTTTCTTTGTAATATATTCCCTCACATAGAGCTTTAAAAAAACAAGTATAGTCAATTTGTAGATTACAGTCAGGAATGAGATTTAAACATAAATATACAACTAATTCTTCCTTTATTTTACTTCTGAAAGCAATTCAGTGTCCATAGCCTTAGCTAACATTTCCAATTCTCTTTTTCTTAAGTGATTTAAATGTGGCATGTAAATATTACAGATCCATGGTTCTTAGGATTGTGGCAATTTTATATGCTAATTTTGAAATTTTCCACTTAAGAACCAATCCCTGCCTGAATCCCAGAAATTTTTAAAGGACAACTCCAAGCCTGTTGTAATTTTCTTTCTGGTGGAAATTAAATAGCAAAAAAAGTCACTGTTATGTGTTTATAGGTAAGGTAATATTTAGAATGCAAATTCTGCACAAAGACAGAGATGCAGAGTTCTGTTTCAGAGTCTTCTTTAGCTTGCCCCAAGATGATTTTTATTTTTATTTTTTTTTTTTTTTGAGACAGAGCCTCACTATGTCGCCCTTGGTTGAGTACCATGGCGTCACAGCTCACAGCAACCTCCAACTCCTAAGCTTAAGCTATTCTCTTGCCTCAGCCTCCCAAGTAGCTGGGACTACAGTCACCAGCCACAACACCTGGGTATTTTTTGGTTGGAGTTGTCATGGTTGTTTGGCAGGCCTGGGCCAGATTCGAAGCCACCA